TGACCGGTGCACGTCGTAGTAGGCGAGAAAAGAATAAACTTTCTAGTCGTGAAATTAATTCAGCTTGACGCACTAATCGATCCAAGGTGGCCGATACTTGTAGACCCTGAATATCGCTGACAGCCAAACCTACCATCAGATTGGTGAGTATAACGGTGACGAGTAGTACGAAGCAGAGAAACNTAATTCACCGGACATCATAGTGATGGCTTTGAGTAGTGACCTAAGAAAAGAGATGGTGATTTTTTTTTTTATTCTTAGCATTATTTCCATATAGAGAGTATTACAAAATATTTACCAAGTTATATTTTCGAATGGTGGATAGTCGTTGAACAGCACTGAGAAGCTGAGGCAAAAGGCGATTAACAAGCAGATGTAGGCCAATAAAAATTTACAAAAATTGCCAGCAACTGGAAAATAGTAGATAATGCAAAGAGACCCAGTAAGAAATCTGGTCATGAATTTTATTAAGAACAAATGCAAAGGTGTATATGTACATAAAAACTGCTGTACTGTGAGATCATGACAACCGGTGTCGACTTGAAGTTGAACTTTTGGCTTGGAATTTGTACTGAGATTACTGCATCTTGCAACAACACTTCTCGTGTAATAATAAAACGCATACGAAGATCAACCAGGCTTGAGCGCTTCATAAAGCTCAGTCAGCTACCGGTCGATTTCTGAAGCTAATCAGCCTAATGCCAATGGATCTCTGCCCAGACGGAGGGCTTTCATCTTAGAACAGGCCAAGAGAAGCAACAATCTCTCAGAAGCTACGGCACTATCAAGCTTTCCTAAGCCTAAGGTGGTCCAAAAAAGTTTACAATGTTAAGCTCACACCCCCTAGGATTTTTCTAGATTTAATAAAACATATTTTTTTTATTTATGGGGTTTTTGGACCACCCTAATGTACATACATTCCGAGGGCTTATATTCAATATTCTTTAAATCCTCATTCCGACAATTATGTACAATGAAATTACCTAAATCGTTTGTTCCAAAGTTAAAGTAAAAAAACTAACTATCTTTTTGTTATTTCTGCGTTTTGCCGCACCATCCTTACCTTTCGTAAACATCTGCACGTAAACGCCGAATATCGGAAAACGTCCCACCAACATCATTAACTCCAACCAAACCAAAAGCACAACAATGGCAGCGACATGATGCTGCCACATAGGCACCGCCAACAAATTACTGGGCACTAAAATTTCAGGCGTCTAAAAAGGTAAAAAAATTAGGTAGCATTTAAAGTAGCGTTGCGCTAATGACTCACCACACAAAGCAAGACACCGAAGACAATAGCCCATTGCAACCAATTTTCCCAATATTTCGCATAACCTTGTAAGCCGTGAGCCATCTGTAATTACGCGTACATATGTACATCAGTTAAAATAAGTAAATATTTTAATAAGGAAGTCTACCCATCATTAACCATTCTCAAGTAAGTATGTAGTTACCTGAAAAATCTCTTTGCCCATTAATATTAAATTCAG